TGGATTGAATATAGAATCAAACCATCTTTTAATTATAATTAAAAGCCAAATTTAGATCTATTTTTGAGAATATTCAAATTCAATCCAAATTCTAACATAGCCGTATATAACTAAGTCATAACTTAATTTAAATATGTCCAAACAGTAACGATGCACACAATGATACTGAAATCAACAGTATAAATAAAATCGAGCCTAAACTACAATGGAATTGTTGAAGAACAACATGGATTTGAAGCTTATGTCAAAAACTAACCACTGGAAACTAGAATTGATTTGATTTGGTGCTGAATTTGCCGTTCAATTGCCAAAGGAATTCGTTGTACTCCGTCTAGCTCGCTGCATCGCTTCTAGAAACCAAAGTCGGCCGCTGCTCCTCTTTAACATCGCGGTTGCCCTTCCTTAGCTCTATCGGAGAGTTGGCCGGTTGCTAGGGTTCAAGATCCAAGTCTGAGCGTTGTCTCGTGGCCGTGAAACTGCACCCCCCAACCGCCCTCCCGCATTGCCCTGATAAAAAAAGGACCCAGTTTGTTCCTTGTATTATTTCGTCCTTCGTATTTGTGTACTCCGTAGTATTTTTGTTGATGGGTCTCAAATTGGGCTTAAGTTTGGGTTTAAATAATTAGATATATGCATATAGTAGCAATATTAAACAATTGCCACAATAAGTCTAATATTTTGTGGCAAATTTTTAATTGCCACAAATAATTGAGGAATATTTATATATTGTGGCAAACATTTATTTTGCTAGTAAAACTTAGCCACAAAAAGTCATATTTTTTGTAGTGAATCTTACAGGTAAGTTTATTAATCAATGCATCACATTCACTCCGCTTCAACCTGGCTGTTGTTATTAGGCTTCCTAAATAAGTAAATGGCAGTTCTCCCAGTTTCATGCCAGTAAGCCCCAGTAACTCCTCTCTTTGCTTCTGGTTAACTCCTCCAAAGACCACAATAGATTTATTTTTATTGATGCTCATCCCAGTATCTAAATGAAAATTGTCCAACACCCTCATAATACAATTAATAGAGTCCTTATCAGCCTTACTAACAACTATTAAATCATTAGCAAAACATAAATTCACAATCTTAAGTCCCCCGCACTTTGGATGATACTTAAATCTCTCTCTCTGGACAGCCTCCTGAAAGCCCCTTGTCAAATATTCCATAACCAACACAAAGAGAAGGGGGGAGATAGGGTCCCCTTGTCTCAACCCTTTAGCCCCTTTTATATAACCATGTTGTCTCCCATTCACATTTATAATATAAGTAGGGGTAGTAACACAGAACATTACCCACTTGATGAACATGTCAGGGAAATTGAGGTATAGCAGCATACCTTTAAAAGCCTCCCAACTCACTGTGTCATAGGCTTTTTGAATATCCAGCTTCATCATACACCTTGATGATATATTCTTCCTGTTGTAGCCTTTAGCAATTTCCTGACACATAAGTACATTGTGAATTAGCTTCCTCCCCTGGACAAATGCTCCTTGGTTTAGATTAATAATGTGGGGTAGAACTTCCTTCATTCTTAAACAGATCATCTTGAAAATTATTTTGTAGACAGTATTACAGCAAGAAATTGGCCTGTAGTCCTTTGGATGTCTTGGATTCACTTGTAGGAGAATTCTCCCCTCACTAAAGAAATCCAGAATTGCTTTGGTTGTTAGCTCCCCTACCTCTTTCCATCTTCCTTGAAAAAACTCACTCCCATATCCATCAGGCTCTGGGCTTTTATACTTAGGAATTGAGAAAACAGCTTCCTTAACTTGTTGCACACTAAAGGGTCTGATCAGTTTCATTTGTTGCTCCAAAGTTAGTGTTCCTCCAGCCTTAGCTATTCTAGCATCAATCCCATTTGTTTGATTCTTTGTTCCCAGAATCTGGGTGTAATATTTCACAAAAATATTTGCAATGTCATCTGTTCCTTCTACCATAACTCCCTCCTCATTCTGGATCTCCACTATATAATTTAGAGCAGTTCTTTTCTTGATCCATGCATAAAACAGTTTAGAGCCTTTATCTCCTTCAGTGATCGATTCCTGTTTACTTTGACACTTCATGCTATATGAAGCTCTGAGTACCTTATATAATTTATCCCTTAATTCCTTTTCCTCTTCACACAGCTCCTTAGTCATTTGGGTGTGTTGTAGCTCTTGCTGGAACTTTGTCAATTTCTCTCTGGCTTCTTCCATCTGCATATGTATCCTATTATATTTTGCACTATGAAGCTTCCTTAAGGGCCCCTTCAACTTCTTCATATTCTGCATTAACTAGAACATGTTTCTATTGGAACTCTCACTTCTCCATTCCTCCTTCATAAATTCATCCAAGCTTGGATCCTCCAATCACATATTACAGAATCTAAAAGGGTTTGCTTTGTAACTTTCCACCTTAGTGATCAGCAATGGGGTGTGGTCAAAGATTCCTTCACTGAGGATTCTAGTTTTTGTACCATATTTACTCATCCACATGGCATTAGACAATGCCCAGTCAATCCTAGACCAGATCCTGTTACCTGGCCTCTGTTTGTTTGACCAAGTATAATAAGGTCCTACCCAAAGTATTTCCTCCAGCCCACAGTCCAATACACATTATTAATTGTTATTCTTAATATTATTAAATATCTTATTTAATAAAAATGGTTGTTATCATTTTACTCATTAGTATTATTAATAATAAGGAAGTGTTCCTATTTGAGGAAGTGTAATAATAATAATATTTACAAATAAATATTATTATTAATTGTTATTCTTAATATTATTAAATATCTTATTTAATAAAAATGGTTGTTATTATTAATGTTTGTTATCATTTTACTCATTAGTATTATTAATAATAATGGTTGTTATCATATTAGAGTTATTATTATGCAAGATGATTAATAAATTTTTACTCCCTTCGTTTTCAAAAAGAGTTCCTATTTTGACGAAGTGTAAAAATAAGGAAGTGTTAAATTGTAGCTGACTTCCAATTTTCGCACTTGATGTGATGAGTAAAAGTAAGATGTGATGGATATATTATTAGAGAAAAAATATGATGAGATAGATGACTATAAAAAAGTAAGGATATAAGTGGTTTTTAAATAAAAAGTAGAAATGTTTTGTTGGAACAGAAAAAAATGAAATAGGAAGTATTTTTGAGAACGGAGAGAGTATTATTTTTATTAATCATTATTATTATTATTATTAATTCTTTTTATTGTTAATAGCTTATAATGAAAATAATACTAACTACTATTATTATTATTGGAATTGTTATTATTATTGTTAGTTAATAATAATAATGATTATTATTATTTTAATTATTAGTATCAATTACTATTACTGTTATTATTAAGTACGATGATAATAAATTATTATTCATTATTATTATTATTGACTAATAATGATAATAATAATTACTATTGTTATTAATTTCATTATTATTATTATTATTATTATTATTATTATTTTGAAAATATTTATTGTTTAAATAATTTTTTGATCTGAATGGATCCGTTATGATCTAAACTGATCTGACCCAATCTGAATGGATCTAATCTAATTCTGATAAGAATAAACAATAAGAAGCAGCAATAAGTTGAAGACAACGAGATTTTAATCCAAAATCGACATAACTGACTAATTTGTCGCATCTAAAAATGACCTGCTGAGGAAAAACAGATATTAATCGGATCGGATGTGTCATTATCAAATCCGTATCCGTTTATTTTTGTCGGATATCGAATTCGGATACGGATCTTGACGGATACTGAAAATTAAAACCGTATCCGCATCCGTCGAATATCGGTCAGATATCAGATATATCTGTATCTGTTTCCAATTTTTAAAATCAAATTAAACAATACTTTAATTTTAAATTAGATTAAAGTCATACTATTATTAAATCAACTATAATTTGTTATGTGATAATTATTTTTTTTGTTTTTATGATTTATGATTTTCTACGATAACTTCATATGATAAAAATATATACACAGCATAAATATACACATATTTTTATATGTCTGTACATATTTTTATGTGTCTACAAATTTATTTTGTATATAAAAATGTCTTATATTTTGAAATATCAATAGAGAAACAAAATACAAACATAAAAAAATTAGAAAAAACTATATATAACGGATCGGATATTCGGATAAACAGTTATTTAAATAAATGAATATTTGGATCATATTTTAAACGTATTGGATATACAATTACCCATTTTCAATCCATTTAGTAATAAGAACACATATCAATTTTAAAATAGATGCAATATTTCCTTTGGCCGACCTGGTTTAAAAATACTCGTAACTATGAAACTACTACGTATCATAGACTCATAGAGTCATAGTAGGGCAAGTTCGCAGTACACGGAACTATGGAAGAATGTCGTCGGTTCGTTTAATGGTAGCGGAATTGTTGTTTTACGCTAAGGTTTTTTCGTTTAATTTCTGCCGATGGAGTTGTTTTTATGGTTGATGATCTTCTTATTTATGCTGAACTAGTTTTTATTTTATGAAATTGAGTTGTTGAAAATCCGATTCGTTAATTTATCGTTTAGAGCAAGTGATTGGATTGTTTGCTTCTTGTTGTTGGGAATTATGTAGTTGATGTGTTCGATCAACATAGAATTTGTCATATTCATCAACATGTCATTAGCGCATACTTTTTTCGAAAAGCTTAGCCCAAAGTTACTGTCTACCAGGGCTGGGCACTGTTTCAAATTATAGTCTGGTTAGAGTGTGTATCGCAGTGATTAATGATTCCATTGAATATCTGTTCTCTGACAAATTAATTTTTAAGTATGCCGGAGTTGATTTCATCGAGACTTGATGGTAAAATTGAATGGACATTAGAATTGTTTACTTTAGAAACTTGAATGATCATATTTTATGATAATTTTGTGTTTCATAGAATCTAATTTAATGTTTGGGACGGACAATTAAGCTTTAGAGGAAAAATGTTGCATAAGGTATACTTAAGTTTTTGGTTGAACCACAAAACCTTAAGGCTTGACATTTACCCCTTGACCTTTTTAACCCATAACATGCACATTGATTCTTGATATTTTAAACCAATATTTTTCACTTGTATCTTATTGCAACCATAGAAAAATCTCTAGCTGACCATAACATATCACCATGCTAGACCAGATCAGAAGCAAATGCAACTCCACCTAGTAAGTTGCTCTCCCCCTTTTTTACTCCGTATTTTCTACTCTATATGTATAGGAGTTCTCTTTATACATATTTTCTTTAATATATAACAAATATAGATAGGATGGATTCTATAGAAAATTAGAGGAATAGAAGAGATTACACAATCATAGGTGTGATAATATAGAGAATAATCAGCCAATGATATGCCCGTAAATTCTAATTGTTGCAAGATAACAAGATTTTATAACCCGTGCAGATATATGCAGTCGATTTCCTTTCTTGGTTGTCAAATTTTGTGGACCATAATTAGAAAAGAAAACTATTTTTTTCTTTATAAAAAGGGTTTCAATTTAATGATTTGCTTTGGCCCCCCAAGAAGCTTGAGCCGGCTCTGTTCATTGATGTATTAAGACTTACGAGTTAAAGTGTGTTAAAATGTATCATATGATTTGAGGACTGAATGCACAAGGACTATGCTGCAGTCATTGGGTTGTACATTATGCATCAGAAGTAGTAAGTTGTGCATTGTAAGTTCATCAAAATTTGAAGGACACTTTATAGGTTTAATGGAAGTGTGGAACAGCATTGCAGAGGTGATAGTTGAATAAGACTTGACATTATTGGGAAAACAGAAATTGCAGAGTAGGCTGTGCATCAGCAATACCAATCTTTAACAACAACAACAACAAAAACAACAACAACAAAAACAACATAGCCTCATCCCACTAGGTGGGGTCGGCTACATGGATCAAACGACACCATTGCACCCTATCGTATCATATTTGCTGTGAAATTGTTCGCGCGAAGGTCTCTGAGATCAATGCTTGCCAAGTCTCATATCTTCATTCCTTATTCCTTACCAATCTTTAACAGATAAGCAATTTTTAATGCACATTGACAACATTGCAAGGGTTGCACATCATGCATTAGAAGTAGCAGGTTGCGCATTATATGTTGCTTAATTAACCATTTTTAGGGACTCCTTTAGGATGTAGGTTTGATGGAACAAAAGGGCTGTTAATGTTGGGGACTCGTTATGCAGGAACCACATTTCATTCCTTTGACTTATTGACTTATAAATCCTTTACCCGTCACACAATGAGATAATGGTTAGAAGATTGGCGTGGCTCATTGCCTTGTTGATTACTTTTAGGACGTCTGTAAGGTATTTATCTCAGCTTCAAAGCACTAGATACACTGGACATTTATTGGACTTTTATTTAAAAATGTGTCATCTTAGGAACAAACTATTTTCAATGACCTTTATTGTAAACCATAGTTGGTACTTGGTAGAATCAATTTATTATGATCCCGTAAAGCATAATTTGAGTTTAAGCTGTTTTTTGTGTGTTATGGTTATAATTAATCTTTTGCGTGTAAAGGTAGCTTAAATACAGTCACTACTTTATACTTATTAGCCTTGTTATATGCGTGTCTCACTTCTAATTACATTTTTATTTTACATAAAAGGCCCCCATTTTTTAATTCGCTTCTGGCGTTCAGAAAGGTTGAGCCCGCCTTAACCCTCTAGATCCCCGATTGGCTGATTTAAACCATGCCCTTCTCAATTCAAATGGTAGCATTACGTTCATCTTTGTCTTTTCGGGTAAGCAATTCAATATGTTCATGTTCATATGTATGGTTTATATAATATGATAACATTGTTTAATATTAATTACAAATTACTGTATGTCCTTGCAGATGCAGAATACTGTTTGTGGTCCTTTATTCGGAATATCAAGACAGTCTCACAACATTCCATTCGCTAAAGGTTTGGGTGAAACAAAACCGTTTAGTTTAATCTGCCCTGAGCTGACCACAAAATCAGTGTGTGAAAGGACTGCCAGCAAATTGCCAACTTATAACATACTTGGATCCGGAATGGTTCTTATTAAAAATTACCTCAGCCTCAAGGACCAGGTATATTTTGTTAGTTGTGTGGTTTTTGCACCTTTTGTCTATCCAATTCTTGGTCTTTAAAAGCGCGATGCTAAAGTAGAGTCATTGGCCCTTGTTACTCTTTTTCACAATATCAATAGTTTTTTTAATAAGGAAAAGCAATATCACAAGTTAAGGCTAACATGTATGGTGATTAAGAATAGTGAAATTAATTTACATGTTGAAATACTTGAAAGTTTTTGACCCGGAGTTAATTTTTCAGGTTGATATAGTGAATGTATGTCAAAAGTGGGGCATGGGCCCCGGGGGCTTTTACCAGCCTAGTTTCCAAAATGGAGCGAAACTTCAATTCCAGATGATGTGTTTTGGTCGAAACTGGGATCCGATAACCAAGTATAACAAACGTTACAGAAGTGATGGTTCTGAACCACCCCCGCTTCCAAAAGAACTTATTTCATTGACTAAAACCATAGTTCAGGATGCTCAAGCCCATCTGGTTGAACTTCCTTCAATGCACCCAGATATTTGTATAGTAAATTTCTATCAACTCTCTGGTCGACTTGGCCTCCATCAGGTTAGGTTTTATATGCACATACAAGTAATAGTAAAATATCCACTCTTAAAAAGTACTCCCTCCGTCCCAATTTAAGTTGCCTGTTTACTATACCATTTATAGGGTCAAACTTTAGCCACGTTTTTTACTCATTTTCGCTACCGATTTGAGAAAAGAGTGTAGTCTTGTTACCTCTTGTTCTATAAAACTTTTGATGTAGCTTCTAAATATATAAATTTTATTTTTTAATTCCTTGCCAATTTTCAAATAAATTGGTTGGAAAATAATTCAAGGCAAACCTCGTAAACAATAACAGGCGGGTTCTTTTTGGGACAGAGAGAGTAGAGTATATGAGGTGGAGGGTGAGATGAGGGCAAATTTTACTTCTATATCATTTGTATGTAAATGATTTGAAATGGTGGAGTTTTTTTTGTGTGTTTTTGTATGAACGTAGGATCGTGATGAGAGCTATGATAGTCTCCGAAGAGGACTGCCTGTGGTTTCCATCTCCATTGGCGACTCTGCAGAATTCTTGTACGGTCATTCTAGAGATAAAACAAAGTGCGAAAAGGTTGTGTTGGATTCAGGAGATGTGTTTATATTCGGTGGCAAGTCTAGACTCGTTTATCATGGCGTGAAGCAAATCATTCCAAACTCGTGTCCTCTGCCGTTATTACAAGAAACCGCACTTATACCTGGCCGTCTAAACCTTACTCTAAGGCAATTTTGATGTGCTCATTTTTTTTCTAAAAGCTATTTTCCAAACACCAATGTCAATTTCCCATGACAAATAGAGGTGTTTATTCTGATCGATCCAATCTAATCTTCCCAATATCCGAAACTTTCGCATTGACAAAACTGATTCATATTAGTAGTTGAGAATTTAGTATTTAATTTTTTTTAGAAGTCATTTGGTCATAATTATTTTTTCTAATATCTAAACTTTTATGTCATCTTTAAAATTTTAATTTTTTAATGTATTTCAATCTTATTTTAATCATGAATGCATTAATTAGTATTGAAACCCAAATTTGATTGTTACCTATCCGACCGTATTTTAAACCGAATTTGAGCCCAAAAATAAACATCCAAACCCGATCCGACAAAGAGAACCCCTAACCTGGCCTAAGTCAGGGCGAATTTGGATATACTAAAACTTGACCAAAGTTGACCCGTTGCCATCTCTAAGTGTAATACTCCGGGGTACTCTATACATCTCACAAAAAAGTTTCAAATTTTCTTTTATGTCTGTCCAAAAAAAAGTTTCACTTTCTATTTTTGAAATATTTTTTTGTGATCCATATAACTTCTCTCATATTCATTATTTTAAACCAATGCACATAATTTCACTTTTCTTATGATTCGTGTCATGTCAAATGTGAAACATTTTTACATCACAGAAGAAGTATAGTCATGTCACTTGATCTTATTTTATAATTAAAATTTATGTTATTTTTTTGCATATATGTACTTTTTAATATAATTTTTTATAAATATATGTATCATTTTTTTAAATAAATTAAATAAAAACTAAATTCATTTAATCATTATAATATTTATTGTTGCTTTATGATGGGACGGATGGTCTACAATATTACTCTCTTCGTCCCAATTTAAATTGTCTTTTTCAGTTTACGATGTTTGAGTAAAGTTATTTTCAAATCATTGATTGTTTCGGTTTACGATATTTGAGTGAAGTTATTTTCAAATCATTTTATATAAGAAACGGTGTAAAATTAAAAAAATTAAAATTTCATACTCCTTCTGTCCTTAAATGATTTACACGCTTTATTATTCAAAAATTGCGAAAAGTTTTGGTTATTTATGTGTTCTCATTGACTTTTTGATAAAATAAGATATTCTTGTCACATATTGTTTCGTAGAACTTTTAATGTATTTTTTAAATATGTAAGTTTCAATTTTTTTATATACCAATCTTTAAATAAAATGAATTGAAAACATTTGATATTTTATTTTATTTTGCATAAAGAGTAAATGATTTAGGAACGGATGGAGTATTTAAAAAGCAAATCAAAAGATCTACTCCCTCCGTTTGGGAAAACCCTTTCCACTTTGAAAATAAGGCAAATTAAGGAAGTTTAAAATTATAGTTGACTTCCAATTTTGCCCCTGATGTGATGGGTAAAAGTAAGATGTGATGGATTGATTATTAGAGAAAAAGTATGATGTGATAGGTAGGGTATGAAAAAGTAAGGGTAAAAGTGGTTTTTTAATAGAAAGGGGAAGTGTTATATTGGAAGTGAAAAAAATGAAAGAGAAAGTGTTTTTGAGAACGGAGGGAGTACAAAATTAGTAGTGGTATGACTATTTAATTTTATCAAATGACTAACGAAAATAGGAAAAGAATGCAAATGAAATTTGACCTTTTGAATAGTAAAACAGACAATTTAATTTAGGATGGAAAGAGTACATTGTGTACTTGTCTCCGGGGGTCCCCATATGGCCACGCCGGTGGAAAACCCCAGGCCAAGCCTTGGGAAGGGGTGGAGCCCCGGACTCACTTGTGGCGAGCCTGAGAAGATGAAGACCCGGTCTCATGTGTTGGACCAGGATTAGCAAGAGGATGGACCTAATAGGCATGTCGTAGCACCTACAAATTAGTTTATTATTTTCCTTAACTTAAATCCCCCTTTATGAATTAATATTCATTAAAACATATAGATTGGATAAGTAAGGGTCGATCTCACGAGGAAAGATACTTTTTAATCTATGAAAATCAGTTCACTTGTCACTTTTATTGAATAAAAACAACTAACTAAAATCTAAAAAACTAAAACTAAAAGATATGGGGGATTTGAATGATAATTCTAAAAAAGATAAAAATGCAAAAAAATAAAGATAAAGGATGACAGATAACAGATACGAGATGGAACCACAGCAGCAACTCAACTCAGAAGAACACTCAAGGAAAGAACAAACACACAGAATAAACTAAATTATGGATTAATACAAAATTACAAAGAGGAATATATATAATAAATGAATTTGTTTAACATTTTAATATTTTACGTTGACTCTATAATGATAACTAATACTCCGTATATGTTTTTGGAACGAAATAAATATTTTTTGTATGAAAATTGTGTTATTACTTCAGTTCTTTATTTTATTTTTATTACAATGGTGATGACAATAATGACATTAGTAGTAATAGTAATAATTATAATTATAAAGAATGTAACAGGAATATTATTTTAAAAAGAATTTTAAGTTGTTATTGGAATAAACTTGAAGTAGTTGAAAAAACGGAAAAGAATTCAAAAATGTTGTAAATAAATTTGCATTCAAAAGAAAAGACCCTTAGATAAGTAAAAGAGAAAAATGGGGTCATTATGTAATTTTCAAAAATTTAAATGATGTGGAGTGTTTTATTTATTTACATGATTAAATAGTTCACATGGCAAGAATGCACTAGAGGGCCATCCATACCCCTTCATTAGCCAAGGCATGGAAGAAATTCCCGAGTAACAAACCTTAGCCTAAGCCAAACATTAGCCAAATGTTTATTGCCACCAACCAAAAGACTTGTGAAAGGACTGACGAGAGCAGGCCACAATAATGACCACACAAGCAAGACAAAAACATGAAACCATGTTGTGATCCCAAACATGGAAGGCAGGACCTATTTGCAACACCTAAACTAGGAAACTGCCGTTTGGAGGCATTTAATAATGCATATCATACGTACAGAGGGAAAGCTCCCAAACATGGAAGGCAGGAGACAACACTGCACGAGAGAAAAAAAATGTTCACAAAAAAATAATTAATGCGAAACAATATGGTGGTTCTTTGTGTGCACCAAACACGGGACAACTTCTCTGAAGAATAGACTCTTGTGGTTTACCTCCTCACTATTTTGTCAGGTCGGAGTGTGGAGACTTCTGAGATTGGTGTACCACTTTCCCTTTTCATGAGGACCAGGAAAAATAATCATAGTAAAATAAATTATTTAGGATTTAATATTTGGTTATAAAAATTATTATATATAAATTCAAAAGAGAACACCTCAAAGAGTTTTTAAAAATTCATATTTTTATAAAAACTTCAAGGTATACATTATTTTTGCTGTGGTTGCTAGGATTTTCATTATCATCTAGAACTAATATTTTTAACTCTGTCTTTATTTCCACCCGTGAAATCCTTTAATATAATAAAGGAGACTCGGATTAACCAGAATGTGACATTTGGCATGCCTATTTAGCAAAAAAATGAACACGTCATCAGCCACGTAATAATGGAAAAGTTAAAAGGAAATTAGCTATGGACTCCACCAGCGGATCTCCCTGTCCAATTTGTGCGATAATTGCCGGTCTTCAAAAAGGAATCGCTGCCTTCAAAAGACTTCTTTCCTTCGACGTTCGCTGGCGGAAGATCTGCCGAGATGACTGCTGAAGAATTTCGAATTCAAAAAAACTCCTTTCCGTATGTTCTCTGGCTGAAGTTTCGATGTATGATTCCTAAATCCTTGCTGAAGATTAGGGATTTCCGTATGTGAGAGATGAAGCCTTCAAAATTTGGTAACTCCGAATCAAAATTTGCTAAGCCTCCACAGCTAATCACACGATTATGCCTTCTAAATTTGGTAAGTCCTATTCACAAATTTTTCCTTGAAAAGTCCTATTCAAGATTATGATTTAGGTACCAAATTTAGGAGATTTCTTATTTCTTTAAGTATATATCACGTTGGCCTACGTTCATTTCAATTGGGTTCTTCTTGATTCGAAAATTTTGCCTTAGAAAGAAAACTATAAGTAATTTATTTGCTAAATCGTCATGTCTTTCAAGCCCATTCACTCTTTATCAAAAATCAATCCGACAAGTGAGTGTTGGAGGATTTGTGTTTGTGTGATACGGTTGTATACGTTTCCTGCCTTCAATGATAACAAGGCAATACACTCGATAGAGATGGTTTTCCTCGACAAACACGTAAGTATATATATCATATCTTAAATATTTATACAAGTTTAGCCTATGTTCCAAGTTTTTATATATTTCAAGTTTTACTTCAACTAATGTTTCTGTATGTATATTGAACTGATGATAAGTGTCTTTCTTTAACCAATATTTTAATGTCGTTAAAAAAGTTATATATTCATTAAAAAAATTAAAAAAGAAATCATGTTTTGCTGATATGGATAGAGATGCCACTGTAGATGGATATCAAATGGTATACAGTGTATTCTAAAGTCTAGGATATCAAATGGTATACAGTGTATTCTGAAGTGTAAAGACCATTCTAGATGGAGTACAATGTAGTGTATTCTGAAGTGTAAAGACCATTCTTCCAGTTTTTATCTCATGTTTAGTTTGTTTGCATAAATCTATGTGATTTATTCCTTTCCTGTGGTGTTTTAGGTTCTAACTGAAACTAATCTCCATGTTACAACTTACCAGGGTACGTACTATGCATAGGCCAAGACCAGTTCCACCATGCCTGCATTATAAAGAACACATTTTTTGAAGGTTGCGTCCGAGCTATACAGAGATTGATTACATATCTCAGGGAAAAGGTTTTGTGTTTTTTTATCCACATTATGCCATATCTTTTCAAACAGTTTGGTTTTGAATTTTTTGTTTTTTTTTTTGTCTGATCAAAAGACCCAACTCTGCAGAAGGGAAGAAGTCTTGAATTTGTGAAAATTGTCAAGGCAAATTGGGTTATCGATAAACTTGCTTTCTATTTTGCCACGTTTACTGCCACGGAATGTGGAAAACTAGGAACTTATCAAGCCAAACTGTTTCGGACTAAGGACGGTAGCAAGCTTGAGATCTATGAGTTTAGGGAAGCAACTGATAAGGTGATAATGATATGATCTTATATGAAAATTTTTATGTCCTATACATGAAATTAGATTATCTGATCATACCCTTTTTCTTTTTGTATAGCTGCAGGTAGATGGCCAAGTTGGGGATTAAGTGTTTGGATATGAAGCCTTAAGTAGAATTAAGCTCAGTTGTTGGTGGTCCTATGTGGTCGGTGAGTCTTAAAAGATGAACTCTATGTTGTTCTCTGTTTTATTTTGTTGCAGTGGTGAATTAGTTGTAAGGAATTGATGATAGTCCTTAATATCATAGCTTCATCTTGCTTACCAATTGATGCATTAGATACTTCCTAATATCATAGATAATTTTTGTTTTCCAAATATATGTATTTAGATTACAACAATACGAACTCCAGTTACGAGGATAATATTAAAAAATTAAAAATAAAAATGAAAATATAAATACTATTTAAAATATATAAAAGAAATATAATGTTTTTAATTAATTTAAATAGAAATTTAGGACCATGCTACATATATTAATCCTTTACCAATGAATTCTCACCATAATAAAATCCTTCCTAAAATACAAAGGTAAGTAAATAATTAAATGTGAAACTCTCCTAATAGGGCATGCGTTAGAAAATGATTCATGCATAGTCGTGAATGGTATGATATGATTTCCAAGAATAGATTATTTCCTTAACATATGGTGATTGACAAAATTTACGAAAAATATTATTAAGAAACAATCCTAAATAATACTAATTTTGAAATTTATGATCACGAGTATATTATTCATCACCTTACTTATATTATGTATGTTGGATAATACTAATATTATTTTGGATCCATTTGTTTATATATGGCAATCCTTAATTATGTATCTTGGATAAACAATAATATTATTCTTGATTCGTTTATTTTTAGTAAAGGATTCGTTATATCTAGGATCGACACAATATTATTTTGAATTCCTTACTTATATATCGAACTGACAATTAACTTAAATTGCTTACTTTTATATCCAAATTTATGGAAACTCTTATATACTTGGTTCAAAATACTATTATATAAAGAGATATTTAATGAGTTGAGATGTGCCGTCCACCACCCATTTTCATTTTCCATTTTAATACATAGGCATTCAGAATCAATTATGCAATAAAAAAGCGGAGAATCGTTAATTCAACTTCAGTGTTTTGTTTTTAAGAGGATTGGTGGTAGGAGAGTCCTATTTTTCAATTTCAATTGGAGCTATGGAAAATCAAGTTGACGATACATGGACGAGATCAGCTAGAGATTCAAGAGAAAGGAGAAAAGGAATACTTCAACAAAAAAGAACATAGAAAAGGTACGTACTTTAAATATTATTTTATCTTAATATATTTAATTTTGGTACCATCTGATCCAGGCCTACCCTTGAACTTCCAAAGAAGACAATTCCTCATCGCTTTATGTTTTGTTATAACTATCAACAAAAGTCAAAGTCAAACATTGTCTTTTGTGGAATTATTTTTAAACAAGTCAGTGTTCACACATGGTCAGCTATATGTTGATGTTTCACGAGTGAAGGCAAAGACATGATTAAAGATATTGGTTCCAGATGACAATGGAAACCCTTGCAACCATACCAAAAATGTTGTATACCCTGAAGTCTTTCAAAAAATTTGGTATTAAAATAAACATTGTTATCTCCACATTCTGTTCCTAAAATATTATTTATTTTACTTTGGCTTTTTTCATCTGTAGTATTAAAAATCATTTGCACAATAAATTTTCTTTATATTGAAAAATAAATTTAATTGAAATAATTCAGAATCGACACAAATTTCGTTCGACCCCGTGCATGGCACAGGTCAGAATACTAGTAATAGCATAAAGTTGACTATGAGTGAACACAAATTTGGTTAAAAATAATTTAACTAATAACAATGTTAGATCTTGACTTTTTTAAATAGTCGTCGCAAAACATAAAACTGTTGAGAATTGTTTTTTCTATAACTTCAATGGTAGCCTCAAATGAGGTGCTACCAAAGTTCATTTTAGGTATGTAAACCTTTTCTCCGACTCGATTTCCTGAAACCAAAATTGCATCGATAACGTTATATCACAACTTTTCAACGATTCATCTTATCTCATTATACAATTTAAATGTTTGGTCAATGTTCTTAAGTAACATAGTTGGTGTCGTTTATTTCAAAATTATTTTTTGGTTTGAGATTTCTGAACATTTGATTCATTAAAAACTCAACTGATATCTAATCGTCATAAACACCTGCATCAACGTAGCATAAATATCTTTTTTCATCACCGGGAATGAGGGATAGAAAAAATTTATTTATCATTTAAACTACATACCTCGAAAAATAATTGTTCATATATTTTCTAAATATGTTTCGATAAGTGGAGTCCATTGTTTTTGATATGAGAACTTGGGTCAAGAATAAAGAATTTGGGTGGAATCTCAACATCACTAACTTCATCAATCCCCAAAATTAGCTTTCTATCTCCCACTTTAATTATCTAATCAAAAGAGTGTGTGTCTCTATCTGTACAAGAAGACGTAGATGAATGTACCTCATATTCTTAGTCAACATAAAAACTTTACAATACGATTATAATTTTGAGGAATTGATCATATCACATACAATCTCTCTCGAAGCTCTGGGCAAAACTGGAAAGATCTCGCAAAAATTACCTCTCAGTCCAATTAACTATATTCTCCCCTCCCCCATGGTTCTTTTTTGGAGTTACTATTAGAGTACCCATGATATCTCTTGTTGTTCTTTTTTTTTTCAGAACTCTAATTAAATTAAAGGGTTTTGGTTTTAAACTTTTTAAATAATATTTACAATTGTTTGTATATCTTAAAAATAATTGATATGATTAGTTGAAGTTATTTATTTATGGGAAATACCTATAAAAAAATATTTAAATGCTTAACTTAATGTACTCAGGCTTAAAGATAATACATTAAAAGGGGAAAAAGGTTATAAATAGAAAAGTAATGCTTCTTTACTATATAACACATGTCTTATTTATGCATTGACACACACAGATTTAGATGCACTTACATTTTTTTAGTAAGTTTAATATATGGAAAATGTAGTTTTTTTATATTCTTACCATTTTGAGCATGACAATTTTTAGTACTTTATGATATGTTCCATTTACTCCCTAGAATAAAAGCCAATTGAACATATACATACGGAGTATATAGTAAAAAATGGAATGACACACAGTGACGTGGAGCATTTCAACCAATCAAAAAGGAATCCAGTAAGCGTGTGGCGAGTGGGTGGAGTGACATGTCATACAGTGGCAAGTAATTATTTTAGTCATTTTTTACACTTTTGTGACATATTTTAATTATAAAAAAGTTCTTTTACTTATATTCTTTTTCATAAAAATATATCCACTTCATTTTTAAAAAAACCTTTTTTTCTACAAATAAAAAAAATAAAAAAATAAGAAAAAAAAAGTAAGAGAAGAATGCCTCGCGCAAGACATGCATGCCTTGCATGGAGGAATGCACAAGCCAAGCATGGCAAAATAGACAAATGGCTGATGTGGCATGGCGTGGCGGCATTTACCTCGTCACTGCCAATGCTCTTAACTCTTATATTAGTATTAAAACTCGAATTTCACTGTTACCGATCTGATCGAATTTTAAATCGAATCTGAACCCAAAAATTAAACATCCAAACCCGATCCGATAAAGAGAAACTTAAACCTGACCTAAGTCGCGTGGATTTGGATATACTAAAACCAGACCGAACCGGACCGTTGTCATCCCTAAGTATAATATTCCGGGGTACTTACACCTCAGAAAAAAGTTTCAAATTTCATTTTATGTTTGTCCAAAAAAAAAATGACTTGTGGTCCATATAACTTCTCTCATATTCATTATTTTCAACCAAGTGCACATGATTTCACTTTTCTTAAGATTTGTGTCATGTCAAATATGAAACATTTTTACAACTTTTATACTCCCTCCGTCCCAAAAAGAAGACTACGTTTCATTTTTTGCGTATTCCAAAAACACATCTACCCACATAAAAAATGCCTAAAATTTATCACATTTTTCCTTTATTTTGGGTAGAAGTCGTTTTGAAAGTGGCATTTGAGACGATATAGAAGTGTTTTATGGGATGCGTAAAAAATGAAATGTAACCTTCTTTTTGGGACGGAGGCAGTAAGTAAATTTATGTTACTTTTTTAAATGTATGTATTTTTTAATATATAATTTTTATAAATATTTGTATCATTCTTTCACATAAATTAAATAAAAGATGAATTCCTTTAATCATTATAATATGTTTTGTGTTGGAAATATTTGCTTTATGGTCGGACGGATGGTCTACATTAGTGTTCCCTCCATCTCAATTTGAATTGCATGTTTCTGTTTACTATATTTGACTGAGAAAAATACTAAAGTACAAGTAAAACATTGAAAACATATACTTAAATAAGACTTCCATATTTTTATTCCCAAAATAGGAGTTAAAATGCATTTACATTACCAAACATGGTCATTACATTACATAAAAGTATAATATTGTGCACACGTACAGTGTCACATTACCACAATGCGAAATTCTATTTCAGGAATAAAAACATGAAACTCCAATTTTGGTACTCTTTTCTACGTTTTAGTCCTATTTAAGTAGATTCCAAATCATTTTATATGAAAAACGGTGTATAATTTTTTGGTTAAGAGGATCGGAGAGGGACAGATAACTACAAGTACCCATTGAAAGACCTGGCAAAACAGATCCGGAACCGATTACCCGAACCGAAATATCCGAAACCGAAACCGGAATGACCCGAAAAATGAAGATCCGATCTATATCCGAAAACCCGAAATGATCCGAATCGAACCGAAACCGAATTAAATAATTCATATCCGATTTAAATCCGAAACCGGTTAGATCCGAAACCGATAATATCCGAACCGATTAAACCCGAAACCGATTAGATCCGAACCCGATAATACCCGAAACCGATAAAATCCGAAACCGATTAGATCTGAAACCAATAATATCCGAATCCGATTAGAACTAAAATTGATAAATTCAGAACTATGTTTGCCTTTTAATAAGCATATTATATTTTTAAATTTTTACTTTTATTTTACCATTTGAACTAATTACATTACTTGCTCATTCCCTCATAAAATGAATTATCTTCTTGAAAAAAAGTACAAAATTTTATGCCTTAAATTTATTATATGTAGAAATTAAAGATAAGTTATACATATAAATGATAACGCGCAAACAAATAAAATTTCCGTAATTTTTAAATAGTGAAGTGTGATATTCTTTTTGGGACGAAAGGAATTTATGCTGAATTGTATGGAATAACTAGATTTTATCCTAATTTCATCTCATTACAATAAATTTTATTGATTTGAGAGTTAATTTGATTAGTCTCAAACCAATTCACTCAATATTAGTCAATAAAATTAGATGCTAGTGTTAGCATTTTGAAAACTCTCTAGCGGCAGTCTTTACTGTTATCATTTTCAAATTTGATCTACACCATTACATTTAGGTGTAAAATTAATTATATTTGACTGTATTAAATTTAATTTTCTCTATTTTCAACCAAATATACTCAATAATTTACAAATTTTGCACTCAATTGAATAAAATTCACTTAATTTCACCCAATTTTACTCAATTTTTACCAAATTGTATTCAAATGCAACATAAGACTATTTGAATTTATCTTTTATCCTTTCATTTATATACATAAGTATATTAGTAGATGTGAGAAAAATTTTATATTTCAAAACTAAATTTTAAAATCAATTTAATTATATTAAATTTATATCATAATTAAATATATATGTTTTCATAATTTGTAGTCTAAATTTGTAAAATATGACTAAAAAGTCATAAAGGGAAGATTATTTAGGGTAGAGATAATATAACTAGAAAAAATATAAAATAATATGAGGTATTGAATTAATGATAGATTGATAAATGTGATAAAATATAAAAAGAAACACGGATAGTTAAATTTTAATTAGAAAATAATATATATCCAAAATATATTTGATCCGAAACCGAAATATANTTAATTATATTAAATTTATATCATAATTAAATATATATGTTTTCATAATTTGTAGTCTAAATTTGTAAAATATGACTAAAAAGTCATAAAGGGAAGATTATTTAGGGTAGAGATAATATAACTAGAAAAAATATAAAATAATATGAGGTATTGAATTAATGATAGATTGATAAATGTGATAAAATATAAAAAGAAACACGGATAGTTAAATTTTAATTAGAAAATAATATATATCCAAAATATATTTGATCCAAAACCGAAATATATCCGAACTGAACTAGACCCGAAACCGAAATATATCCGACTCAAATTGTATCCGAACCGAAATCTATCCGAACGGATTTATAACCGAACCGTATCTGAACCGACTCGAAATCGAACCGAACCGAAAAATGTATAGAACCGAAATCAAATCCGAACCGAAGTTTAACCGATCCGAACCGAACCGAACCGATTATAACATATAACTGAAAGATATCCGAACCGAAAAAATCCAACCCGAAACCGATCCGGTTGATCCGATTGCCACCTCTACTGGCATTGATGCGTTTAGAGGCTTAGAGCCTTGTGTTGCAACTGTCTGACCTTATCGACATATAGGATGAAATGACTGAGGGCAAGTACACACTAGAGAATATGGTGGGATTCAGGGGTGGGACTCCCGATTTTTTTAAAACATTTGATAATGATAAAAAATAATTTCCTATCAAACAAGTATTCAAATAAACAAGTTATTTTTAAAGTAGAAAACTAACATATAAAATATATCATAGCATAATATAATTATGATATTTCTAATATTTTACCTGTACATGTTTTTAAGTGATTATTTTTTACTTTAAAACTATGATTTTCTTTTTCGAGTGGGGGCAAACTAATTTTTTACCGAATTCGTTCTTTTAATTCTCTACAAAAAAATTATTTTAATATTCTATACTACCTCCGTCCCACTCTTTTTGTCCAGTTTTGACTTTTGGAATTGTTCATCTAAGCACTTTGACTCATCAAATTCTTTCAATGTGTAAGTCTAAAAATAGTCATGTGTGATCTTGTTTGATTTGTCTTAATATATAGATTATTAATATATAATTTTTATAATTTTTTAATATACAAATTACAAGATAAAATGGATTAAAGAAGTGCATTATATGGTGTGTAAAAATGAAAGTGGACAAAAAGAGTGGGACAGAGGGAGTATTACGGAATAAAAAGGTTGAGTGGGAGCCACTGCCCCCTATTTATACCTGTAGATCTGCCCTGCATTATAATCACAACATAGCGTACTACTCTACTATACACACTCATCCATGGATCTAATACCTTTGGTTTTTCAGGCCCTTCTTCCATGGATTCTCGGCGTAGCAGTTCTCTTCATAATACGGTTCATACATCAACGCCCACAAGCTAAGACTCCACCTGGTCCACGGCCATGGCCTATCATTGGCAACTTGAATCTCCTCACAGGCTCATCTAATACTCATGCATCTCTGCACTTGCTGTCTCAAAAATATGGAGATTTGATGCTCTTGCACTTTGGTTCCAAACCTGTGTTAGTTGCCTCGTCTCCCGAGTCCGCTAAACTTTTCTTGAAAGACCACGATGCGGTGTTTGCCTCTCGGCCTCCTACGGCCGTGGGAGAGTACACCTTTGACCGGTCCGATCTGGCGTGGTCTCCTTATGGATCATGGTGGCGCCGCGGGCGCAAGATTTTGGTTTCCGAGGTCTTCACTCCGCGGAAGCTTGAAAGCTTCGAGTGGCTTCGCGCCGAGGAACGGATGGCTTTGATTTCGTGCCTTTACAGCCATGCTGTGGGTAAGAAGCCGGTGTTTCTTAGAGACCATTTGATGAGGTTCACCATGTCTACTGTGACTAGGCTAGTTTCGGGTCACAAGTACTGCAACGACAATCCGGAGTTGAGAGGATCGTCGGTTACGATGAAGAAATTGCAAGAGTTTGTGGACGAGTGGTTTCTGCTTAGCGGAGCGATCAATATCGGGGATTGGGTTCCCTGGCTGAATCGCTTCGACTTGCAAGGATATGTGAAGAGACTGAGAGCCTTATCTGCAGAGTACGCAGATATAAGACCATAGGGAAGTGATGAACAGAGCTGGCAAGAATAATTTCGTCCCCAAGGATATGGTGGACATATTCTTGCAGCAAGCTGATGAGGATCATAATGATCCCGAGGCAGAGCTGACTCCCAATCGCATAAAGGCGTTAATACACGTAGGGATTGCTTCGATGATTAATTTTTTTTTTTTTCGAAATTGAATTCTGTTTTTTATTAACTATTTTGGGAAAGCATGCATTTGATCAGGACATGTTTGCGGGAGGGAGTGATACATCAGCAGCAACAGTACAATGGGCATTCCAAGAATTGATCAGGAACCCAAGCGTCATGGAAAGGGCAACCGAGGAGCTGGATGGGGTGATCGGGCGGGAGAGATGGGTGGAAGAGAAAGACTTTGTGCAGCTACCATACGTGGAAGCAATCATGGCAGAAACATTCAGGTTGCACCCGACGGGCACACTGCTTCCGCCGCGCTACTCCATGGAGGATTGCAATGTGGCGGGCTACGAGGTGGCGAGGGGGACCACGGTTCTCGTGAACGCCTGGTCCATCGGAAGGAACCCGAAGGTTTGGGAGAGGGCGGAGGAGTTCTACCCGGAGAGGTTTCTGGGGAAGGAGGTGGACATGAAAGGGCAAGACTTTAGACTGATGCCGTTTGGGTCGGGGAGGAGGATGTGCCCGGCCTATAGCCTGGGATTGAAGATTGTGCGGGCGACGTTGGCCAATTTGCTGCACGGGTTTACCTGGAAATTGGCGGGAGACATGAAACCACACGATGTGTCGCTGGAAGCGGTTTATGGCTTCACCACTCACCCCAAGTTCCCGCCGTCTTTCCTCATTGAACCAAGACTACCCGCACATCTGTATTTAGTTTAATTAATGTTCTGCGTGTATGCAATAATGTGGCCACC